GCATATATTTATCTGAAATTTGCTGTGTATGTTACTTAAATATTTACTAAATAATAGTGAAAATTTCAGAACGCAGTGATGTTTATTTTTTACACTAGACAACTTGTCCACGATTTTACGGGACAACCCTCGTATATCCTCTGATGTCTTTTAAAGGATGGAAAAAAATTGCCATTTTACGACGCGTAAAACTCATAACACTCTTTCAGAACATGCTTGAACATTTAAAAGAAATTAGAATAAAATGTAATAATACATGTAAACTATAATTATGAAATTTTAAATTGTTGATTACATAACAGCTTACCTTTACAGTTCAATTATAATTTTGAAGTAGGGGATATAAACAAACTGTCCACCAGCAGAGATAGATGTTCGGTAGTTAAAAATTAATGACATGGAGATAACGAATAGCATTTATAATCAAAAGTCCATAAAACAATACAAAATAGGAGCAGAGCAAACACGGGCCTCCGAAACATCGGAGGTGGGATCAGGTGCCATGGATGAGTGTGCCGAACTGTCAACCTGTAATGTTCCTTTGCATGATTAGGAAATTACAGAAAAATCCGTCATCAATTCAGTGTATAAATAAAAATCTTTGTCTTACATAAAATATTTGACCCAGGATATTTATCTGCATACCTTATAAATACAAGTTGTTCATAAAGACGACAGAAAAAAATAAGAAACATTGAAAGGTAATATTGAACTAGAAACATACGTTTTTTTAATTTCCCCCAAATTTTGGTGAATTGTTCAATCATGAAATTTTAAGATGGTCGAATATTTCTTCTTTAGTGAGAAGGTCTCTAGAATGCATAAAGATAACTCACTGTCTGGGGGAAAAGTTTGTTTTTGTTATACATCCTTAACCCCCTTTCCTGCAGTCATGCATTTTAACGCATACACCATTTCCTATTTCTAACGCAAAATCTCGCATATACCGTTTCTCCGTTTTAACGCATTTTCATGCACTTATAAAAGTTCATTTAATCTTTAATTTAGCTGTTTAACTTCTTTCAGTGCACTAGAATTTATAGAAAATTGTGAGTGGCGAATGAATGTTTTATTTATATGCACAATTATACGATGCATCTTTAAAACGAGGAAGAAAAAAAATTAATAAGAATTCCAATTTACTGGTATTTGAAAAACTTTTAATTTCAATAATTTCTAGTACTTTAGATATCTTCAGTGATATCTTACATGAAATCAGGAGGATATGAATAAAGTACATGTAAGACGGTCACCATATTAGGGTAAAATTACACTATTTCAATTTAATCAAATGCAATTTTCCAGGATACTCGTGAGCGATAATGCGAAGACAGTCTTACGGAAAAATTCTACTTAAGTGATATCAAAATAAGTTACAGAGATGTAAATAAATATACTAGGTGCATTGTTATCAATGCAATGAGCTCACTTAATGATACTCCCGACTACTTTATGTTTTGCTTTGGCCAGGAAACCCAAATTATGTGTCGGATCAAAAAGTAAAGTAGGAGGTGCACAATGGCAATATGTAATAAAGAATCTGTGAAACTTTTATAAAATTTCACGCAGTGGTATAAAAGGAGCTGCGGATACCCCAAAGCGTAGCATACAGAAGGACGGACGGACGGACATACTTATTATATATATATATATAATTATATATAAGAGAAAATTAACAATTTTTTTAGAAAAAAGATGTAATTAACACATTGTGTATTTCAAAACTGCGGTATAATGCAACTTTCCTTCCGAATCCACCCGTACAAATTATTTAGCAAAGAATAATCTTGGATTCCAAGGTTACTAAATAAACATTCTAGTCTTGTATCATTCATAAATTACCGATTTAAAAGAGAAACATTGTCATTGCAATACATTTTACATTTTACAAACTAATCTAATAATTGTAGATGACTACAAAGAGAAAAAAACCCAATTTCTCATCTTTAAGAAAGAATCAATGTGAGCATTCAATGTATGTATTAAACTGATAAAAGATTTTCCAAAGCTATCCACAGATGATTTTTTAAAAAATCTTTACCAATACGAAAAAACAAACTCTTTACGCATAAAAACAAATCAATTTATTTTGAAAATTTGTGTACTTAAGGAATTTTGTACGTAAGAGACTTGCATGACGCAGATGGAATATTCCGTGAAATTAGATATTTCTATAACAAATTTTATACAAGAATAATATCTTTGGTGAATACCTCATTATGAAGACTATTTTTGATAAATTTTCAAAAACATATGTCTGTGATAAGGCACAGTATATTAATGTAAGACGCAGTACTACTGTACTATTAAAAGGAAACACATATACGCAAATAAATAAAACTAGAGGTACTGTGAACAATGAGCTCACTAAATGATACCCCCCACCTCCATATAGTTATAATGGCAAAGTCCATGTTTTGTCGGATCAAAAAGTAAAATAGAGGGTGCACAGTGGCAATATGCATCAAAGATTCTGTAAAAGTTTCATCGAATTCCATTCAGTGGTATAAGAGGAGTTGCAGATAAGAGATGGGTACCCAAAGCGTAAAAGACGGAAGGAAACACGGACGTGCAGACGGTCGGACGGACGGAATTAACGATTATAATATACCCTCCCGCTTTTCAAGCCCGGGGGAGGGTTATAGTAAAATCATTTGTTTTTTTTTAATATAAAATATTCATCGAAAAAAAAATGAGATCGATAAAGGAAAATTACTGAAATGAATTGTTTGATACTCCTTGGTATCTCTGGGCTTTCATATATCATGTGCAAAACCTCGAAAATATCTGATAAGCATATAGCAGAACATAATGACAAATTATTTCATAAATTATCAAACAATAGCATTATAGTGCGAAGAAGTGGAATCCAAATGCACAAAAATTTTGCACTAACTGTTTAGATATTGAAAATATAATACATCTTTTATTCAACTGTGATGTGACTTCAATTTTTTATGGCACAAATAGAGTACAATTTTAGGTTTCAAAATAAGTTGGATTCATATTTTTTATCAAAACATATTTTACCAATGGCATGAATACATTGATATCTTCAATTGCCTTAAAAAATCTTAAATATAAGATGAAGTGTAGATTGACAAATACAATTTGTAATAAAGTTTCATTATGTAATTTTGTTAAATCATCTTTAAATGCATATCAGTATATTGCAGAATTTTCATATGACAATGGACAGTTTGACAAATTGTTGAAAAAAGTTTGCATTAATTTGTAAATATAATATATGTTACTAGCAGGTAAAAAAAAAAAAACAGTTTTTGAGTCTGTGTGTTAGCATGAAGGCTTATGGATTCTTGATAGTGTGGAAGGTGGCCCATCATGCTAACATAGGAACATATTGTATTCTTTATAAATTCAATTATACATGGATTTAGCACATTTGTCATAGCTCTCTCTATCTATTATTATCATCATTATTGGTATAAATATGAGTTTTACTATTGTCTCAAATTAATTACAGCTTTTCTTTTTTCTTTATTCTTTTCTTAAATAATCTAAAACGTCAATGTGTAATGTAGTTTATCTGTGTGTTATCTACGAGGGTTGTCCGTAAAGTTTGTTGACAACATTGATAATTACTGAAACACATTGATAAAAATATATAAAACTATTAATTTCATTAAATTTATGTTTCATTTTATTAACATGCAAGTTTTCAACAAAAACAAAGCACAAATACTTATGTTTTTATTAGATTAAAAAAGACACACTCATACCCGGAGCATAGAAATGAAAATTCTTGACCTTTCCCGACGTCAAAAGCGTTACGAGTACGTGTAACTTTTCTCAACAAAGTCACCGTTTAACTCAATGGATTTCTTATGTCGCTTTAACTACTCATAAATATGTGCACAAAATATTCAGGTTTCACACGTAAAATAATATTGTACAATGCCTGACTCATATCCTGTAATCACCCAACCTCTGTCCGCGTAAAAAAGACTTTATCTAGGGAACTATGGTAACGTCATGTTATGAAAGTCATTTTTACAGCACTGCAATCTGGGAATGATGGTTTTCCTTCCCGCATGCAATCCTATAAACTGTTCCTTTCATCCGAAAATATTATATGCCATTAAAATACTAATGTACAGCTTCTTTTACTATGTTTTCCGGATTGTTTACAAAATGTATTGGTCTCTGTAGGTGTACATAGTGTACATCCTATGTCTACGCAGAATTTTATCACTGCTCACTGCTCCACCTATTCCGAAAACGTCCCCTTCTTAATAAGTTCTAACTTTGATTGCTCAGCCATTTTATGACTTTGAACGTTCAAATTTTGCATGTTTGACGTGATAGTTTCTGTCAACCTCATAAGGTAAAAGTCATCCAGATTTCCGCAGAATTTTATAAAATACAATTGAAATTTATAAAGTGATACATAATTTTTTTAATTAAAACTTCTGCGGTGCTCCGGGTCTCCATTCCAAGTCTAATTATGAAGCCAAAATTGAAAATAAGCATTTGAAATTAAATAAGATTTTACATTTTTCAAATCACATTTAGTAAAGAATTAGAAATATGCTAATGTTAATTATTAATGACGCAAATTTTATTTAATTCTAAGTATCTAATCAACTTTGAAACATAATACCCATGTGCAGATATTGAAGGTATAATGCTGCAAAAGTAAGGAAGTTGACGATTTAAAATATGTCATCTCTTTTGTCATAAAGCTTGGCTATTACATTACAATAAATGTTTTATTTCAATGAAATAATTAAATATGACACAGAGGTGCCCGGATTTATCCTTTATCCTTTATTTCATTCCTTTTACCTTTCCTTCATGGAGTCAGGATTAAAAGTAACCTAGATTCAAACAAATTCTTAACCAATAGATTCACCGCTTTTATTCATTGCATGTTGTGTTGCTTTAAGTTGAGAATTTCTTAATGGTCAGAAACAGGAAATAATTAAAAGATGCTCATGAAAATCAAATCATAGATATGAATAAAAAGAACTTCAAGATGTTTATATAGGTGTTATATATCCACCCTCATATAGTTTTGAACCAGTAATATGTCGCTTGTGGTCTACCAGTACATTCACTGGTGATATGTAACTATCCATATCGTTATCATTAACTCGGTCATCGTTCAGTTCTTCATTTTCTGAAATGGGTAAGTAAATATGTTCAGCTTTCTTTTCATGTCCAGGGGAATTTTCTTTTATTTCTTCATACAAAGAAGAAACTTGTTCATTCACAAATGGAAAATCTTGAGATTCGAATGAATTTAAATGTCTGTTTTCTTCTTGCATATTCCTTAAACCCTCTTCAACTGTTGCGATACCTGATTCATGTGTATTAGCAGTATTTGTTGTCATCCAGTTTTGTAGTTTGACATTTCGAAGGCATATTAAAACACTTACTACGAAAGCAAACAACACGATTGAAGATACACTGGCAATTAAAACAGCTTGGTAGGATCCAGCGACCAATTGAGGGTGAATGCTAATGTTCATTTGTGAACTTGTGATAGATTGATATTCATATAGATTTTTTAGTGTAGTGTACTGTTGAAAATTCACTGTGGATCTCTGATCCTCAAGAATTAAGCTATATTCTGAAAGAGAACTTGAATATGTTTTAATTTAATCAATTATATCAAGTGCTTTTTCATTCAATTAGAGTGTACGTGTAGATATAAAATCAAATAATTATTATATTGCATAGATAATGCAAAACTTTCAATAAAAAATACAACCTGTTGTTAAAACGTAGCATCCATTGGCTGGATCACATAATGCAGATTCACATCTACACTCATACTGACATCTTTCTCCATAGCTAGGGTATTCACATTGTAATACACATCCTGTCCCAGTATATCCATTGGGGCATTCTACAATTAAAACTCGGTAAGTACGGCTTACTTAAAATGTTCTTTCATAAACAAGAGGTCCATCATTCACCTGATCATTAGCTGGGAGTAAAAATACGTATAGTGTTTAAAAAAGCTTAAATGTATAAGTGGTCTTGACCTACCCTTGAAAGGGAGAGAGGATGTGATTTGAACATAATTGAATCTACATTTACTAAGGATGCGTACATATGTTTTGACTTACTGACTTTTTTCCTTCGAGTTTTAACATTCATTGTGGTTTCTACCTCTCATGAGTCATGATTTTAAACAAAGATGAAACTTCACTAGCAGCGGATGGTTGCTTATAAATATGACCAGTTATGGCTCTGCTCTTCTTGAGAACAAGATTTTTGTAGATTTTTCCTTTATAGTCCTAATAATACTTTGATCCGTCATTGTGGCAACCCTATCCTAGCGGCTCATGATTTGAACAAAATTAAATCTACACCACTTGAAGATGCTTTCACATAAATATGACAAATCAAAGCTTTGTTGTGCTTGAGAAGAAAATATTTACAATCTGATGTAAACCTTTGAAAGTCCATTCAATCTGATGTAAACCTTTGAAAGTCTATTGTGGCCTCAATCTAGACCTGGGTTCGTGATTTGAACAAGCTTGAATTTACACTACCATATTACATGATTGTTTTTCCCTGGATCATTGGTTCTTCAGAAGAAGAATTTTTAATATGACATCAATATTTCTATTTACTCATAATTTTCTCCATTTGGAAGAGGGTATTTCTTTCCATTTGAAAAAACTTGAATCCTCCTTCACAAATGATTTTTTAAAAAGGAATAAAATTTGCCCAGATGATGAGATGAAAATGTGAAAAGTTTACAACAACGCCAACGACGACGGACAACAGAAAATTTTGATCAGAAAAGCTCACTTGAGCCTTCGCCTTAATATCAAAATATCAATACAAAAAAAATTAAAAATACGTACTCTCGCATTCTCCGATGTTTGAATTCCATTTGAAGCCACTGCAACATTCAATTCCATACTTTCTAGACGAAAAAAAAAAATGTGAATTTGTGCTTTGAAACGTTTTCGTTTAAGATCTTTAACAATAAATCCTATTAGCTTTGAAGAGGAAATACATACGTAATTTTTTTTGACTGCAAAATACTGTATATAAATTTTGCAACTACTTATTTTCGCGAGATAGCCATCGATTTTTGATAAGCAAAAAAAAAAATTCACTATTTGTGTTTATTGTTGTATATAACTCTAAGGAATGCTATTAAACGCAAGCATTGAATTTTTCTCGCATAATTACACGAAAATAGAGTTCTCGCGAATACAAATTAAATCCCTTTACAGTAGCTTCCATGCTGGGTATCTGTAAACTGCGAAAGAAAATAACATACAACAAAGTTTAAGGTTTCGTCAAAGGTCAACATGTCTAAAATTAATTTTACAATAGCTCCAAAACTATGTATGGTATAAAGTCAAAACGTTTACGGTTTATAAATATATCATTTATTAATAGATAGAAATATTCACTTGATAACAAATATTTTTTTTAAAATTGCATCAGAAAATATGCATATTTTAAGAGAAATGCACCTGCTTAATTCTGTCCTTTTGTGAAAATCAACATTTTAGAAGTATTATATGTTTATCATTGAAGGACAAGTTGGACGTAAATGGTCTCTGAAAGGCTGTTATTGATAGCGTGACATGTATAAAGACAAGACCCCTATAGAATTCGCCATTTGCAATGTACTTTCACTTTCAAGTCTTAACATTTGGACCAAATAAACAGTGAAAACAATTTTCCAGACGCTATCCAAGTCCAACTTGCCCTTCATTGATAAACATATTTTGTTTCTGCAGTGATGGTTTTAACTAAAAGCATAGAATTAATTAAGTGTATTTTTTTTGAAAATATATGCATTTTTAGGAAGAATTTCACTCAATTAATATTATTCCTAATATTTTTTTTATCAAGTGATACTCTCTATCTGTTAATCATTGAAAAATTTATTAACTGTGAAAGTTTTTAATTTATACCTCACATAGTTTTGGGGCTATTATAAAAAATAAATTTTTGGACATGTTGACCTTTGACGAAACCTTAACAAATATAACATAAATACGTAAATTTTTTGAAATACATACACATAATTTTGTAAAAAAAAAAAAAAAAAGATGGGCATTCCATTGTAAATACTTGTAGATAACATAAGTGTTTCTTGGTTCGGTTACTTTCAAGCAAAGTCAAACACATGTGAGTTAGGCAAAGGTATAGGTGTTTCTGTACAAAAGAGTAAAAAATATATAATGTTTACATAATTTTCCCTTATTTCCCGATCATGACAAGCAATAAAAGGGAAGCTTGACTTGTCGGCAGGGGATGTTCACTCCTTCGTGTTACCTGATCCCACCTCTAATGTTTAGGAGGTCCATGTTTGCTCTGCTTATATTTAGTATTGTTATATGGATTTTGAGGTTAAATACTGTCCGTTATTCCCACGAATTTTATTCGAAAGATTATTATCAACATTAATGAAGCTGCTGCAAAAATCAGAATTAGTTTTCTTAATTAATACAAAAAATAGCAAACCTACACCAGACAGTAAATTTTTAACCTGTTTTAACTTTAAACTTTATCAAATGTATATAAACAAAAAAATAGTGAACTGTCGACATTTGTGAAACAATATCTTATGTTTTCGTAATATCAAGCTGTATATTTATACCTTGTTTCTATAGAACACCGTATATCTTATCGTGTAGCTATTTTGTTGATGTTTCCTTCCTTGTATAAACTTGTGTAGTATAGGACAATGACGTCATCATGTTGTGTATTGGCAAGAGCATGTCATATGTATCAAGTTTGTAAAAGTCAAGTTTTAACTTTTTTCTGCAATAAGTTCAAGGATTGTTCGAAAAGTTCGTGGACGATGTCCATCATTGTTATACTACTTTCAAGATATTAAGAAAAAAAACCACAATATCATATGTAATTTTTTTTTTGGTTATCTGCGAAGTTACATTCCTTTCGGTTTCCTTTCGGTTTCATAGAAGTAGAGGATATTTAATATTTTGTTGTTGAATATGGAATTTATTTCACAAGAAATAGATTCCAAATTCAACTAGAAAACATTGAATTTTCTGTTTATTACATTTCCTTTGATTTTCCCTTTGAATACTTATCTTTTTGTAATAAGTCATAGGCTACATGACGTCATAGCTAAGCGTTATTAAATGATGCGAAACTAAAAAACATTGTAAACATAGATTTTAGCGACGTATTTGGGTGAACTTTGGCAGTCTCATTCTATGTCGAATAGTTTATTTACTCTCTTTATACTCGTATATTACAACGGTTCAAAGACTATTTTTACAACACTCTTTGTTACATGTATGTAAAGGTAAATCGAGATTTTTACCGCACATCAGATATTTGTTACATTGTGAAAGGATTTCATTTTGATATCCTATAACACTGTGACACAATATAATTTTTTTAATGGATAAATTACAGTATTGTCACTGTTGAAAATGTAATAAATCGATTTACTCCAATTTAAGGGGAGGCAGAACACATGTCACATGACTAAAAAGACATATGACGTCGTAATCGATGATGATATACATGTTAAACGTTGTAAAAATCTACATTTCTTGTGTAGTTTTATTCTAAATTCGAAAATTGTTTTTTAAACATTTAATTTTAGAAATTATTATTAATAAAATTTTTAAAGATCTTGCAATCATTTAGAAATTGTAGAGTTGCCCAATCCACACATTTGTTTCTCTTTACCCTGCAGTCTGACGTCACTGACGTCATAGACGTAGTGTTTGAATTCTCAGTGCAGCGAGATCAAGAACACACACCCGTCATGATCAGTTCTATTTGATAATAAACAGGTCACAGTCAATGTATCGTGATAAATTTCTGAAACAGATTTTTTAAAATTAATATTTTTTCGTGTTTAGTAGCAAAGATTACATCTATTCAGATAATTTTGAATGTTTATATTTTCGTGTGACGTCACATTTGATTTCCCGCACTCGGAAAATACAAACTTGAAGCGTTTTTATCATGCTTTCGTCTAATTCAACTATGTCCTGTGCGATACTTAGGTTAGCTTTACCCTGCAATATTTATGCAGTATATAATTACGATGAAGGACTGGCATTCAATCGTAAATTTAGAAATATTTATTGACAGATTTTTTTCAAAATGAGGTTTTTGTTGTTGAAGCTGCCTTGAAAAATGCAGAAATTATCCCACCCAAATACTATATAAAATTAAAACAAGATCTTTCAGATATTTTAAACACTATGAATATTATGAAATATTTGATTATATAGTGTTATCTATCATATTTATCGTTTGTGCGTAAAAATTCGCATTATGGACTCCGTTATGGGCCCGTAAACATGAAGTATCTAAACTCCATACAAACTCTTAACAGGGCGGTATTTGGGGGGGGGGGCTTTTAAATAAGTCAAGAAATCCCATGATAGGACCGTTTTTGAATATTAAGTACATATTAAATTAGTAATATGAAAAATACGAAAAAAATTCATTGACAGGAATTTTTTCAGCTAAAGGTCCTGTTCCTCCTTAAAACCAACATGCTATTTACCCACGAAGCATGCTTAACGGAAATGTATCGTCAAAAACCTGACGTCAAGAGTTTCTTTAAAATACTATCCTTAAACATTTCATACAGTATGGTTCAATACTCACTTATTTATACCCTTTTCTAGCACTTAACATTAATTTGTTTTACAATTGATTGTATACTTTCGTTTGTTAAAAGTATACACGCTATAACTTGCGCAAGTTTAAATAAGATTGGAAATCGATTTAATTTGTTTATCAATAAAGGTTACGAAAATACTGCAAATTACACCATTAAAATTAAACGCGTTACAAAGTTATCAAATTATTATTATTTATTATCCTACAAGGAAAGTAAAATAGCTATTTTTAAGGTAGGTCGCGGGTTTGCTTTCGTCATCAATTTTGGTACACAATTTCGACGATTCGAGCGGCTGTTTTGTGCACATTTGATTATGACCTTATTTACGTCACAAAGGCAACGTTGCGTTGTTTCCCGCTTAATTCTCTGCAAATTTAAGTTTGTACGAATCAAGTGGAATGCTATTGTACGTAAACCTCGTACATGCTTTATAATTAAATTTCAGTCTGAACTTTCATGTGATTACTAGTACATGTATATGTAATACCCTAGGAAAAATTAAATA